ATAATTTATTTTTAATAACAAAATAAAATTATATATAACAAGAACAAATGAGAATACAAATGTCCATCAAACAAGATTGGTTAAATACATTATAGAAAAGTATATGATGGAATATACTTTGCTATTTAAAAAAAAAGCTCTATTTATGTGTTGTTAAGAAAATGTCATGTTAATTTAAAAAATAAAGTGCGAAAGAGTACATATGATTCGAGTTGTAGAGCTACTACAATAAATACATATTTAGGCTTGTGCATATAAAACATAATTTTAAAATATGTTTCTCTATCTGTCTATCTATATGTTTTTTGGAAAGATTCTTATGAAATTATTTGTCATAGTTCGATAGTGAAACTGAGGATACACTTTCTGTAATGTTTGTTTTTTTCCCATATTAAATGTAAGAAAATTAAGTATAATCATCCCACCAATGTAAAAACTACATTTGGTTATTACTAGTCAAATTAAAGCAACTGTAAAATAGGAATTTTTACCTGTCTCTAAGCATTTTATAAAAATGTATTTTGAGCTATGTCTTAGATAATATTTTAAAATATTATATAAAACTGTCATTAATTTAAACAGGTTATTAAGATATTAAGTTGTATATTAATAATTTTCTTAGCTGGATATAAATAAGAAGCTTTTATTTTACATTTTGTAGTCAAATTTTTAAATGACTTTGAAGACCCCAAATCCCCTCTTCATGCTTACTATCTTATTTGCTCCAATCTTTTTTTTTTTTTTTTTTTTGAGACGGAGAATCACTGTGTCACCCAGGCTGGAGTGCAGTAGCATGAGCTTGGCTCACTGCAACCTCTGCCTCCCTGGGTTCAAGCGATTCTCCTGCCTCAGCCTGCCATGTAGCGGGGACTACAGGTGTGTGCCACCATATCTGGCTAATTTTTGTATTTTTAGTAGAGGCAGTGTTTTGCCATGTTGGCCAGGCTCGTCTCGAACTTCTGACCTCAGGTAATCCACCCACCTTGGCCTCCCAAAGTATTGGGATCACAGGCATGAGCCACTGCACTGGGCCCAAAATTATTCCTTTCTTTATTAAAAAAAAAAAATACAAAATGTTAATTTGAAAAATGCAGACCACGTGGGGCTTCTGAAGAAATACCAATAAAAAAGTGGCAATCCCACACCGATTTTATGTTTTCATACATTCTCTTAAACTTGTAATGTATATATCTGATTTGTCCCCATTAGATTACTCTTTTACTATTTTGCAAGATTCTTTTTAAATTATGAATCTATGTATATAACTTTTCCTTCTGTTTTACTGAATATGGTTTCAGAAGAATTACAACACATTAAAACAATACTTAAGAGTATCTGAATTTTGTGACTGACGGCTTCATTTTTAGAGCTTATAGAAAAATCTAAAATTAAATAGGATTTTAAAATTAGTAAGGAATCACAGTTTTTAGAGGGCAAAATGGTTAAGTAATGATGTCTGACCGTATGAAAACTATCTAAATGATCCTCATTGTGTTCAAGAATCTTGTTTTACAAATCACTTAAACTTTTTATTTGTAATTGCAGTACTTGGAAGAGCCTTCACATTTTAACATTATGACTATACACACCCTAAATTCTGCGTCTTGGGTGCTTTAATTGCTCATGAGGGTCAACCAAGTCCAGTAATCAACAGAGGATATGAAACTCCTTATTTTGCTGAACTGTATTAACCACAGGGTTTCAGAGAGGTAAGTCAAAGGAGATGTAAAACAATTACTTAAAGAGTAGCTCTTTGGGGAGTTTGCCTTTGCTTTCATATCACATAAATCATTTTTGTTTCATCAGTGCTCATACTTCCTTATTTTCATTTACAGTTCCAGTAGAAACTACATACATTATGTCAAAACACTATCTTGCATACATTAATGTACTAGTTTCAATAAAATCCATAAATGAAATTGCCTTTCACACGTACACCATGTGTACAAATTTCCATTCTATTAGAAAAGTCACAAGACTCTCTAGGGCTCCTTTTATTATCCGTGGCCACAGTTTAGAACTCAATACCTTGACCCTTTAAGAGGGTATATGTAGACTTGTGATAATTTGACCCTTTAAGAGGGTATATGTAGACTTGTGATAAGGAAGGTGGAGAGAGAAGTTATTTCTACAGAATTCAAAATCAGTTTAGAAAATATATCTAATTCACAGTAACCAAAAAAAGCATACCATTCCTTTCACCAGTGGTAAGAAATTTAGCCTTGTTGCTCTTTGGAATAAAATGCTTAGGAATTAGTGAAGTAGTTTATATTTATAATGGTTATAAAAGTGAATAGGACAAAACATAGGAGTCTTATTAAATTCCTGAAAGAAACTGCAATTTTTACCTTTAAAATATATGTAAAAACCCATGTGTATTCACTGTTAATCATATATAACACTATCTGGATTCTAACTTATTGAAAATGCACTATTGCAGTCACTCCTCTTATTTCATGCTTCGGTTTTGGTATTGGATTGAGAAATATAAACCAAAATCTAGGAAACAAAGGTACTAATTCAGAGTAATCTTAAGTTTTCTCATTAGTTTTCCATAGTCTGCTTACTTCAGAGTATTTCTTACTAAAACTTAATCTGCTATCACTGGAGTGAGTGTGTGTGTGTGTGTGTGTTTGTGTGTGTTTAAGATGGAAAAGTTATCATTTTAAGGTGTTTTTCAGAATAACATGATACCCAAACAGACAAAAACAGACATGTTCTTAACACAATGCACTGTAATGTTACACTTTCTTAAAATGTACTTTTTTTTAAGAGTCAAATTGTAATTACCAGGGATATTTGTAACTTAAAAAACAAACAAACAAACAAACAAAAACCAGTTACTTATCCAAATGCACGTATTTTTATCTTACTTTGTTGAAACTTCCTGTCGAACACCAAGAGAATGTGTGTTGAATAACCATGATGTAATTATAAGAATGCAATTTCGGCAGGGCGCGGTGGCTCACGCCTGTAATCCCAGCATTTTGGGAGGCTGAGGCGGGCGGATCACGAGGTCAGGAGGTCAAGACCATCCTGGCTAACATGGTGAAACCCCGTCTCTACTAAAAATACAAAAAATTAGCTGGGCGTAGTTCCAGCTACTCCCTAGGCTGAGGCAGGAGAATGACGTGAACCCGGGAGGCGGAGCTGGCAATGGGCCGAGATCGCGCCACTACACTCCAGCCTGGGCGACAGAGTGAGATTCCCTCTCAAAGCAATGTAATTGTGTGCAGAATAATACAATACAAGAAACTCTCTAGAGATTTAAACAGGAAATGGTAAATCCTTGCAGGAAATTATCTCAGGAACAAAACAAAAACACCTTAGCCCAGTTCCTGTTACAGTATAAGAAACTATTTTTAAGTCTGGGCTTGGAAACCTGTTTTTTTTCAGGACTTGTATCCATTGTATTTAATTGGCCCCCTGAACCTGCCCTTCCTTCCCAAGTGCACTGCTTCTATCTTACATCCTTATTATCTTATGAGTAAATTGATCAAAAGCCTAATTGGTTTTTATGCCTCTAGCATTTTTCTTGTCCTTGCCAAATAAATGTCTGCAGTTACAAGATTTCTTATTAAATTCAGACATCTAACTGTGCTTCCTACAGCATAAACTCAATTCCCTTCTCAACCACATCCCAAGTTACCTTTCCAACTTTGTATTCCAGTGTTCCACAACAGGCTCCATTATTCCATATGTTTACTGTGCACTTCATCATTTCCTTGACCTGGTACCCTCTAATAATGTAACAGCATTTCCTTCTGTTTGGTTTTCTTATTCTGTTTCTTTTATCCCTCTGGCAATTGCTATTCTGTTTTTTTCTTTCTTTCTTTTTTTTTTTTTTTTTTTTGAGATGGAGTCTCATTTTGTTGCCCAGGCTGGAGTGCAGTGGCCGGATCTCAGCTCACTGCAAGCTCCGCCTCCTGGGTTCACGTCATTCTCCTGCCTCAGCCTCCCGAGTAGCTGGGACTACAGTCGTCCGCCACATCGCACAGCTAGTTTTTTGTATTTTTTAGTAGAGACGGGGTTTCACTGTGTTAGCCAGGATGGTCTCGATCTCCTGACCTCGTGATCCGCCCGTCTCGGCCTCCCAAAGTGCTGGGATTACAGGCTATTCTGTTTTTAAAGTTCAGTTCAAATGTTTGATCTACTTTCCAAGTGTCTTTGTGAACCTGAGTGACAAATTATATACCGCTGACAATATATTCCCCTATTAGGCCACTAGTGAATTGTATATGCCTCTATTTGTACCATAAAGCCTATGCATTTTTTAAAGTTAGTGGTCAGCTCTTCATTTTTGAAGCTACAGTATCTGACACTCAGTACACTTCCAGTAAAAAAACATAATTTCTCATCTGTGGTTCATCTTCTTTACATACTTATATGTGTGCATCAGTGAATTTGGCCTTTTGGTCATTTGCCACTTTTAAGCAAGAGTTTATATTTTAATGCTTTTTTCTGAACTTGTGTTAATAAAAGGGAAATGTTGGCTTAATTCATTAAAACAGCATCTGTGACTTTGGGGGGAAGCATTAAGGCATTTTATCTCAGCCAGCCTCCTTTCTCACTAGTAGGCCTCTTGGCTACAGATGGGACTTAATTGCTCCTTAAATATATCTAACATTTATGCTTACATAATATTGCCCACTAGCCATTCAGTACTTCTGTTGTAGTTTCCTTACACAAAACCCATTAATTTTACTATGAATTCTTATTACTTTTTAGTGCTAAAAATAAAAAAAAAAATAGTAGTTTGTTCATGAGCAGACATAAATAAGTGACAGCTTCAACAATTTGCTTTTTCAAAAAAGAAGATGAATTAAAATCATATCATATGTAAACAAACTTCAAGTTTGTAAATACAGTAACCATTATGAAATAATGGAAGCTTATATCCATTTGAAGATTTTACTGAAGCTTACTCTTGTCTAGGGAAAATGTTTAGTTATATGGGTTCCACTGTGCCAAGGACAAACTGATCCTTTCCAGTCACTTACCCTCTGACAGCATGAATAAGTCTCAGTGATGGATAGGCAGTTCGCACTTTCAGTTTATTCTTAAGGATTAATGCATTAACCCACTCCACGTGCTTCTCTCCTCCTTTGACCATGAAAGCAGGAATCCAAAGGACACTGTCATTCAGCATGGAAAGTCTATGCACAAATTTTTCTCTGTCACTCTCATTCCGAAAGCCTCCAAATGCTCTTTGTACAACTGATGGATTCATGGTAATAAAATCTGATTTAGTTCCCACATCTGCAGCAAACTCCACCACAGGAGCTAGATTACACCTGAAGAGGAAAAAATTAATGGGACAAATGAAAAAAAAAAGAAATATTCACTGGTAAAATGATGTTCATGAAAAGAAGAATGGGAAATGAGCATTTTTTTAACCATGTGAAAAGAAAACCAAAAGATCATCTACTTGGTAAGATTGCATTTTCAGTAACTCTCCGCACGTGCGGGAATGCTGCTTGCAATAAAAAAGTGCACTCCCAGTACAGGGCTCAAAATGCCACTTGTGTGAATTCAACCTGTTGTCTAAGAATACCCTTTGCTATTATCTTCATAAAACCACACAATTTGAATTTGTAATCAGAGAATTTATGATGGTAAATTCACAAGGGTTCTTTGGCCATTCAGTAGGCAATTTAAACCACATGCTGCTCTACAAGTAAATAAAACACATTGGACTTGACATTCTAATCTGCACCACTTGTAAAACTTAAGTCATTTCAACAACTTTGTAAGTCTAAGGAGATAAAGTTGGCTTTACTTATACTCTGAGGTTAAGGGAAAAGTACAATTCCTTATAGTGTCTTACACAAACATATTTACAATTGTTTTCTATAGGTCTAAATGGGGAAGAAAAATAAGAGTGGAGATATCATATTTAATGTGATTTTCTGGGGTTTTAAGTAATACAGAAAAACTCTCACTATAAGATCAAATATCAGCCTTCCTGTTATTTTAGGACCTCCTGAAAATATCTGTTTTCTCTTTTTGGACGTATGCATCCCTGGGGAATGCATATGAAGGGAAAGAACAGAATATGTTGTACTGTTTTCTCCACTAGAGCCATAAGGTTTTGAAAAGAGCTTGGGCCTGATGTTATTCATATAACCTGATTCCATTCTTATATTAGAAGAAAACTTTGAAAAGCACCTTGAATATGGCCTTTAACCAATTTCTGTTGCTTCTTTGATCGGTCACATAGACCTTTTTATACTTGATTTTAAAAATAACTTCATTAAAAAAAATTATTTTAACTTGCTTTTAAAAAGGTAGGTTTTAGTTGTCAAAAGAAAAACTAGATTTTGATAAACAAGGGTTTACTGTATTGGGAAAAAGTTGTTTGAATCAATTCAATCAAACGTTTCATGAAAATATGAAACTATTTTTAATATTTTTATCAGCCTTTCAAGGGACGTGATTTTCTTTTTCTGCATTTTTGAATGTTTGGTCACATTATGAAAGTTCCTTACATTTCTTTTCCTTGTGTACTTTGTCACATTAATCGAATTATTAAACATTTTAATTAAAAAGTCAAGTATGTGTTCTGATATTAAAAATACTGTCTTACATATCGTTCCTTATCTCTCTTAATTAACATATATTATTAATTCCTAGATCTCTGACAATATGTAGCTATAACAACAAATATATTTCATCTCAAATTCTATGTTATTTAGAGTTAGCTACTGAGGGAAAAATATTAACACAATAATATTATTTAGAAAGTATAGCTTAAAGATTATTATCTTTTCAATTTAGGTATCTTTAATTACATCCACTATATTATATGACAGAGTACATATTCGTTTCTATTCATGATTCATACCATTAATTGTGATTAGATATTATTCATTCTCATTATGGTAAGAATATTACAAACAGGACTGACCAGAAAAAGATTTGCTGATGTGAATACTTGTCAAAGTGAACACCTTCTTGTGGAACTCAAGGAAGATCAAAGACTTGATCATTTTAAAGTCCTAAAATGTGCTCTACACAAATATTAAAAGTAATCTAAAATCTTAATGAAGCTAGTTATAACACAAATTTGGAAATTGTGGAGAAATTATATTCTGGACATCATTATTACTGACACTTCTTTAGGTAAAATAGTGAGAATACTTGTAACATTACAATTAACATGTTCCTGTTGGGGAAATGGCTTTGGATATTTTTTCCACTACAACAAACCCTCAGTAATTTCTTTTCAGAGGATTCCAATTGTAGAAAAATCAATATTTATACTTTATTTTCACTATAATAGTAAATCTAGTAAAAACCAACCCAATTAAATAGAATAAAAATGATATATTCTGCTAAATTATCCCTTCAGGAAAAAAATCACTCAATTACTCTATACTTTTTCTTGTCACATATTTAAACATCCCACCCCCTATCCATATTTTCCAATACCCACTCTTGATTTTCTGGCCATGAATTTCTCACGAGGTGGTAAGATGCTCATGAATTAAAGCTGAAGGTTGAAAGATAAATGCTTTTCACTTTGAAAGCAAAAAGAAGCTAATGGAATAAGAATATGTATGGAGAATAGGATTGATTTAGGAAACAAACCAACATATTTGATTTAATTAATGAATTCTAAATGAGTATGGTGCTAACTGAAAGAGCAACTGGAGATCAAAAAGTAACAAATCCATGTGCAGAGTCTTGAGGATCTGAGCAGCGCCAAATTAGACTTTGTCCGGGATAGTAACTGAGGTATAGAAAATAACAAGACAGAAGACACTTCATAAAATATAACCATTTCTGGATTTAGCAATCCAGCTTGTTCATTTTCCTGGGGAAGAATCCATTTTCCCCGGTAAGTAGAGTAATACAATGTCCACATGTTGCTGGTAAATTAAAAACTCTGTGATTGAGTCAGATTTTTAGTCATAGAATTAGCTGAATGCCACATATTTAAAAGAAAGCATTAAAAAATCAAAAATAACCAAAGAGCTGTGATGCACTTCACCAATTCAGTAGACTTGTTTTGAGCATCCAGACATTAGTAGCAGAAAAACTGCTGACTCAGCAGGATTATGAATATATATTTGCAATCTCAAAATTTTCATTTTTCTTTTTAAAAAATTCATTAGAGGCTATAATACTCAAAATTAGCCAGAATGTGTCTCATTTATGGCTAATACATGATACTCATGTTACTCTTGATCTCATAAAACAGAAGAGTGGCCAATTTTAAAATGGTGGATTTTGGTGAGTCAAAATTGTCGAGTGCATATAAACATTTAATAGAGTCAAACAATATTCTCTTTACCCAAATTAAATTTTGGGGCACATTTTGTATTTGACATGTTGAAAACATATACACAGAATTAGCTATATTAACAATACTCTTTATTTACTCTAAACTTTCCAGTTCTCAATTTATTTGTGTTTATTCTCCAATATTGATTAAACACCTACAGGAATGCAGCTAACTCCACTGTATTCTAGGCCTCTGAATTTTCTTCCATGATGGCTTCTCATCCCTATATGCAGAATTGAAGTTACCTTCATGTTAATTTAAAAGTTATATAAAATATTTATTTTAGGATTCAAAGGGAATAAATATTTATTTCATGTATGAGCACCTCAAGATTACAGAATTCCCTAGCAAAATATCTCTCTTGGATTGGCCATTATTCTCTGCAGTTCCCTTAAATGATAGTTCAGTAACATATGCAACTGGGAGATCCCACTTTGATTTATTCAACAGGCTTTTATTGAGAGTTTGTTTTGCAAACACTACTCTAGAAGCTCAGAAATCTTTTTCTAGCTATTTAGTTATTTATGTTATTTAATAATGACATAATCTATCCAAAATATATTCTTCACAGATATTAGTAGTAGTTTTAATAAGTTAATGCTCATTCATTAGCAAAATATTTTTTAATTCTACAACGTGTTTTATGTATCTGTGCTAGGTATAGAACTCATCATTTAAAACTGGAGTAAATATGGTGTAAAACATGGTGTTCTGTGATAATTGGAGGTTGTCACTTATATCCTTTCACACAAAACAGATTAAGAAGAAAACAATTCTAGGTGTATTACAGACCAAATTTTCCCCACCTTTTTAAATATTCAGACAAATTACAAATACATAATTATCATCCTTTGTCTTTTTTGGCCAGTCCCAGTGTATTGCTTCCTGTGCTAACTGACATCCCTCAGCCAAAACATTATTACCTACGGAAACACCTTTGTCAATCCACTGTGAAATAGGAACCAATGTCTTCTCTTTTCTGCCCCTAGAGGAAGCTTGTTGATCCTGTTTACTCCCATCTTGCTTCTCAGCTTGAGGAGCAAATGGAACAACAACAACAACAAAAATCTGTTAGCTATCTTTTCTTAGACTTTCTGATTACTTTATCAAAATTCCTAGGGAAAGCTGGCACATGGGACCTGTCAGTCTCTTTGACTTTCCTGTCTTAAAGGTTGTGGGCTCCACATAGACTTCAAACCATTCATTTTGCTTTGAGGTAAAAAGTAGTATTAACTTCACTTTTAGATGAGAAACTAAGGCTAAAGTGGTTGAGAAACATGTCCAAGGGCATATAGGTTATAAAGGAAAAGCACCATCTAATTTGTAATCATTCCAGGACAAGAGTTTTAACTGACACTATTGTACATACGATTTCATTCAGAAATATGATAAACATCTATAAATTCATCCTTCACACAAACCTTCCTGTAGAAGAAAGAATGTTTTATCATTTAGCCCTAGCTTTATAGCTCAGATTCCTAGGACTCGGGTATATTATTCAAGGCCATTCAGCCAGGACCTTTCCCAAATTTTGAGCAGTTATTAAACAAAAGGTTTTAAACATCTAAAACATAAGCATAATATCTATACCTCAGATCTCTTGATAGACAAGATTTCAAAATGTTACTAGAAAGTATTAAATAACTAATTGATAAGACTTTTGAACTATTAACCATAGGATTAAAAGTTGACTTTCCTGTGGTATACCATAATGTAGTAAACAAAATATAAGAAATAAAGTTGAAATATCACCTTGAACATTTGCATTTCATTATGCTGAACAGGCACACAAAATACACACATATAAACACATATCACATTTTATGCTTTTAACAATGCCAATTGATGAAATTCTTAACTTGATAGAAATACAAACAATACACATCATGAAAATAATGAAATGACTAAACAGAAGAGGAAATTTTTCACAAACCCAGATTCGTTAACATTACTGGCAAGGGTGGGAAGAACGGTGTCATAATTTCTAGAGAAATTCACAGAATGAAA